TTTGTGAGGGTTGGTTTCTGCTATGCCGTGGACTGGTACTGGTCCATGGACAGGGGCTTGGGGACCCTGGTCTAAAGCCTTGTGCAACAGATGGGATTGGCTCAAGTCACCAATAAGCTTTCATGGGTGGAGTGGATTTAAACCTAAATCTCCCTAAACTTAATTTCCCTTTATCATGAGCCAAGGTGGCACAGTGGTTAGAATGCAGTACTGCAGGCTACATTGGCTGCCTGTCGGCTGCCTGCAATTTGGCAGTTCAAATCTCACGAGGCTCAAGGTTGATTCAGACTTCCATCATTCTGAGGTTGGTAAAATGAGGACCCAGACTGTTGGGGACAATATGCTGACTCTGTAAACCACTTAGAGAGGGCTGTAAAGCTCTGTGAAGCAGTATACATGCCTAAGTGCAGTGGTGAGTTCCTACTGGTTCAGCTGAACCAGTAGTAGTTTGGCAGCCTGGGTTGCTGAAACCAGCAGCGACCCAGGCCTGCCACGCCCCCAAACTGGCTCACTGGGCACCGCCGTTGGCACCACCACCTTGTTTTTAAGTTCTGCACATGCACAGAACAATTTTAATTGCACTGTGCATGCATGCACAGCGTGCGCAAACCTGCAGTAGTGCCTGCTGGAACCCACTCCTGCCAAAATGCTATTGCTATCAACTAAGAGAAAAGCAAGTATACCAGGCCAGAATCTTTAGTGGGAGATTTTTGTTTTCTATTCTTCCTATGGGTTATTAAGCTATGCAGAGGACTGAGGATGCTACATCTCCAAGTCTTTAAAGTAGCATCTGTTGTAACATGGGGTAACTAGAATGAGAGAATGATATCTTCTGATATTGTCCCCCATTTAAAAAATGCTTGGAAATGCTCCTAGTAAGACAGCTTGATTTCCCACATGCCTAAATCAGGATATATCAGAGTATTACCTGTGTTATTTACTAAATTTAAAGAAGAGATCAAAACACGGTTTAAACCAGGTCTAACAATAGCCTGATACATATCCAAAAATGCGCAATCGTGTAGCAATGGACTTTCTCAACAACTGTGGAACACATGAAGGCTCAGCTGGCTGAAAAACTGAGCTTACAGACAGACAGGCAGTTTAGGGGTGAGAGGAGGGAAGAGTCTGGTCATTTTGATACGTATAGATTTGTTGATTTCACATTAAGATTTTGATTAATGTAAAATGAGATAGCAGAGTTATGTCAACTTTATAAATGGGTGTTGACTTGGCAGCAGAGGAGCAGTCAAAACTGCTGGTCATGGCAGCCCAAGAAGAACAGTGCGGTTGAAACAATTGTGCCCAATATATTTTTCTGTTGCTTAGTTGTACCAGTAGGAATAGACCAAGGTAGAGAAAAGAGTTAGAGGAAAGAATCCAGTCCATTTTTTCCAAGAAGATCCATCCATAAATTAATACAGCTTTACATGACCTATGCGCTATGCAGTATTCTATTATGCTCTGGGAATGTCAAGCATGGGAGGGAAAGAGGAAGCAAAATAGTGCCATTTCTGGGGTACCGCAGCTACATTCCTCCAGTCCATCTATGTGCGTCATCCACTCAGGACTTCGCTTCCAATCTATTTCCCTTTATTAGTGCTAGCTTTATTCAATTGATTTTTCTCCCTTTTGTCTTCCACGTGCGTCAAACACTTTTCCACTCCTGGCTTTTGAAATTTCACTTTCGGGAAATAAGAATTCATTTTCTGCTCTTTCCCCTACTTCTCTATTGCTGCTGCCTCATTGCCCAGGGTTATTAACATCAAACAGAAGTCACATTCTAATGCACATACGGCCAAAAAAAAAAAGAACGCTTCAAAACACCTCCTTTTAAATCGCAATGACTTGAACTGAAAACATTAGGTATATAAAGTGCATGCTGATAATTTCTCTATTCTGGCTAAAAGCTCAAAGGTGGCGAACTAATGATCACATCCAAGAGACACTTAATTTAATATTTACTTAACTGTATTCCATTTATTTAGAGAGAAAAAAGCAATGATGGGAAGCAGCTGTACAGCCCACATTGAGGTAATGGAAAGGAAATGCACTATAAACACATTGTGAAAACACATATTTATTATGGTAAGGCAATAGCAATACCATTTAAACTTATATATCACTTCATAGTACTTTACAGCCCTCTCTAAACAGAGAGTTTACAGAGCCAGCATATTGCTCCCAACAATCTGGATCCTTATTTTACCAACCTCGGAAGAATGGATGTCTTGTGTCAACCTTCAGCCAGTGAGAATCGAACTGCTGGCAGTCAGCAGAATTAGCCTGCAATACTGCATTCTAACCAGTGTGCCACCACAACTCACAAGGCAATTCCATGGACGTTATCGTAACTGGGATTGACATGAGGCAATCTGGGTCTTATCAACCTAGCCAGGCTGTAAGTGGAGGCTGCCCTAGGGTTGAATAAACCAGTGTGCAAAAAGAACTTTCCACTGTTCAGAAAACCAGAGTGTCACTGAGAAATTTAAGCTAGAAATACCCTTGCCAAGACACTAGTTTTAGTGCCATAACAAAAATGTAAGTAGAAAAGATCATCTTTACAAAGTCTATCTATAGATGGAGTAGAAAGTGTCTGCTAAAGGGTGTGTGTGTGTGTGTGCATGTGTGTGTGATGGATTACAATGAAAGGGCAGTTTCCCATGAAGGAGGGAGTATATTCCAAGAAGAGGGGATGAGACAAGAGATATCACAGCCCAGAGCTGGATCAGAGAAAGAGATTAAGTATAGCCACTCCTTAGAATCTTCCAGGGGATATTTTTTAGGATTACGTAGCACAGGTTTAGTATGGTAAGATTTTGCCTCTATGGTATAAGCAAATCAAGAACTGAGCTTTAGCTGGATTGTTCTATGTCCTTCTTGGGTTGGGCGTGATATCAATCCAGAAATAAATAGGGTAAAGACTCACTTTAGTGAAGCCAAATGATAGAAAAAGAGAGCCAGTTTAGTGTAGTGGTTAAGGCATTATCCCGAAAAATGGAAGGCTATGAATTCTAGTTCTGTCAAGGTCAGTAGATGACCTTGAGCGAGTCACACACTCTCAGTCCTAGGACGAAAGAAATGGCACACCACTTCCAAAATATTGCCAAGAAAACTTCAGGAGCTTGTCAAAGGAATTGTTAGGAGTAAATACTGACTCAAAGACACATGTGCACATGTGCACACATACCCACTGGGGTGGATTCTGGCAGTCACTAATGCTGGTTCGCTGGTGGACGCGTAGCACCCGGGTGTGCTTGTGCACACATGTGCAGTACAATCAAAATTGTTCCCACCACTGATACCCACAAACAAATATGTATATAATCTAATCTTGTCTCACTTATGGAAGACAATTATGGCAGTTGTAATTGAAGACACATGGAAAATATCAACTTAGAAAACAATGGAATAGATCCATAAGAAACAATGACATGTATCAATCAGGTGCTCCAACAATTAATTCTTTTGGTATTAATAATTAGTAGTAATTTTACCCAAGGTCTCCGACAAAGAGTTGGTTGGACACTGGCATCAAATCTAACTCAGAGTTATTTATTTAATTTTTTTGGGAGTCACAGGAGGCATAGAAATTTAATTAATAAATTAAGTTCACTAGGATTTACTGCAAAATATGCCTATAAAGAACACCTTTCTGATTTATGTAGAAGTGAAACTGCTAATATACCAATATTAGAGAGAGCAAGTATTAAGAGCAGGATGTCCATGTACTTGAATTCTGAAATTATTGTACATGCATTTTGCTATTATTTATTTACTTAATTACTTATGCCATCTCCCCTATAAGATGACTCTATTAAGGCCCAAATATGGGTATCAAATTAAAATTGGTAGCATTAGAAACACTGAACAGAATATACAGGGATCATGATTCAAACAATGAGAAAAATGTTATTTTGCAACATTTACATTAGCCTGTTTACAACTTGACATAAAAGGCATTTTTCTCAGCCCAAGGGAAAAAAATACTTTTATATATATTTTAAAGACTTATGAAATATTTTTGTATCTAATTTCTGATTTTTCCACCATAACACTTGAAAAAATTAAAAAAGGAAAATGTTTTCTTCATACTTTTTTTAAAAAGAAAATTCTTTCAGGAGCCACTATTAGTCTACACTTTGTTACTAATCCCTAGCATTTCACCTGTATGCACTGTACAAGGAAGTTTGCACAGTCATTCAAAAGAAACTGTAGCAATGGAGACTAGCATGAGAATAGACACAGAAAGCAGCACTAAAAAGATACAGGCTGCAGGAATATAAACATTATTGAAATAACGTATATAAGTGTGTCATTGATTGGAATGCAAATAATGCTACTGTTAAAAAGACCTAATTAGGGTTCTACTATGTAGCTAATCTTGGCTGATTTCAAAAACGTAAACAGAAGTACTCCTCTTTTCTATTTTGATATAAAACTGCCAGGAAATACCAATTAGCTAGATTAGGAATTTGAAAAAGTATCCCTAGATCAGAGATGTCAAACTCAATTTAATTGAGGGCTGCATCAGGGCTCTGGTTGACCACAGGGGGCTGGGTATGCATGGCCGACTGGGTGGGTGTGGCCAGCTTCATGCTGCTCCCCAAACTGCTGTCATGTTTCCTCTTTGCATTGGGTAGACTGGGCTGAAGCGATGCGGGTAGACCGGGCCAAAGCGATGCAGGCCAGCCCCTCACATTTTCCAGGACAAACCAGTGGGTTGTATCCGAGCACATTGTGTGCCACATCTGGCCTGTGGGCCTTGTGTTTGACACCCCTGCCCTAGATGAATGCAGTGACCAGCTTCATCCATCTTATTGCCAAGAGAATTAGTCAATCATCTGGAGTTTAGTTTGACTCAAAGGAGACTTCACTTACTTTTATATTTATTATAAAATGATACCCTATTCAAGAGCTCAAATATCAATATGCATCAACTGCAGATGGATTAATTCTATACGTTGCTGCCGCTGTTCACTTTAATAAGCTGCAGTTACCTGATGCTGGAATTTAGAGGGATCTCGGCTGCTGACAGGAACCACACTCCCATAGACATGGAGTTCCCGGACAATCGAGACACCACCCTTCAGCTCCGGTCTGAAGGTGTCCTCCGAACATTTCCGCAAACGTAGAAGTCCAATCAGGATGTCCTGCTCAGGATCTTCATAAGAAAGAAAGGTCTCCCAACCGCTATTGGCCACATAGTCTCTCCGGACCAGCTCAACCTGGTCAAAAGAGAAAGAGCCAAAAGGTTGATAAATGATATTAGATAGTAGCCACTATAAACATTGTGCAGCACTCAAAAGGGACCAAAGCCAATTTCATGGTGATGCAGGTAATTCTTTCTGTGTGCAGGAGAAAAGTAGCATGAAATAGTTTCATAATGTGCGGGTCACAATAGATGGATTTTTAACATCTAAGAGAAAAGTCAAAAAGTGTGATTATTGTCTTTCCACAGAAGTTAAAATGTTAAATGCAAACCTTTTTTTGTGCGTGGAAAATCACTTGAACACTTCTCAGAAGAGAACTCAGCGTTTGCCACCTCTCAACACTGTCTGCTGAGAATATATGAAGAAGCATCGTGCTTAGCCACAACTTATGCATTTTTTGCTTATAGTTGGCCACTGAGGGAACAAAATGTTACCGAAGAGATTTTGATTAGACAAGCATCCTACCTTCTGTAAAGGTAGGATGCTTGTCTAATCAAAATCTCTTCTTAGGCTCTTAGCACTCCAGAAGTTAAAAAAAAAAAGGTAGGGTTTGAACAACTTCTGCCATTTCAAGCAATGTAGATACAAATAGTCCAGTCACTAGAATACGAAGACTATGGGCCCCTCTACATGCTGGCCAGCCCAAATCTGGAACTGAACCCATGCTTCAAATACTGTGTAGTTTCTGGAGGTTTTCACAAGATGAACTTGTTAATTGCTGATTGGTTATTGTTGGGTTAATTCAGTTGCTGCTCTAGAGGAAACACTTGAAGACAGTCCTACAGTATCTCCGTTGGAGTTTTGTTATGCATTAGTGAGATTTCCTGCCTTGCCCCATCCCTCCATAGATCCTCTCTTGACTTCTCATCAGAGACCTCTCAAGGATCTCTCTTTCTGATCCAGATCTGATCAGCTGAGATACTATCTGGGCAGAGGAGAGGAGCTTCCATTATATAAGCCTCTGCTTGAGAGGATTCAAACACAATGTCAGTGACAGCTTGTTCTTCTATGTATCTATGCTTGCTGAGACTGCCCCGGTTTCTTCACCTTGTTCCTGCTTTGTTGCTCAAATACCGAACATCTATTGATCCTGGACTTTGAATTCTAGACTCAATCTTGATTCTGCTTGTGGTGATAGAGTCTATTATAAAACCTCCTTGTTGCTTTTGATAATCTGATCATATATCTGCCCATGCTGCATAAATCTTGATACAGAAGATGATGTGATGTATTTGGGATTATTTCATATAAACTGAGTGAGATTTAAGAGCTGACCAGCTGTAAAGCTGATGAAACTGTAAAGCTGATGAAATGTAAGGCAGATGCAATGAAGACGAATCAGCATTGGTATAGCCAGTTGAAGATATGAAGGGGTCCACAAAGGTCTTTACCACTTTAGGAGGTGTTTATATAAGGAAGCCAGGAGACGGCGAATGTCTCTCTCCTTATGTCCACTGTATCCATTGTTAAGTTCTCCATGTAGAGTTAAGAAGATTGATTACTTGTCAGGTAATTGCTATCGTGTATATTTCTGTATATGTTGTATATAAACCACTGTTAAATGTCTAAGTCTCTGTGTGCTGTGCTTTGCTCCTGGGTTGTCTCCTAATAGTAGTCATGCTGCAAATGTTCTGACACTCAGGATTTTCCAGAGTTTTGGGAATAGCAATAGCACTTACTTATATATCCCTTCACAGGGCTTTTCAGCTCTCTCTTAGTGGTTTACAGAGTCAGCCTATTGCCCACAACAATCCTCATTTTAGCTACCTTGGAAACTTGAGGCAAACTTGAGCCGCTTAGGATTGAACTGCTGGCAGTCAATAAAGTTAGCCTGCAATACTGCAGTCTAACCACTGCGCCACCACAGCTCTCATGTTTACCTTGCTCAACAGTAGTAACTGTGAGAGGGATCTTGAAGTCCTAGTGGACAACCATTTAAATATGAGCCAGCAGTGTGCAGCAGCTGTCAAAAAAGCCAACACAGTTCTAGGCTGCATAAACAGAGGGACAGAATCAAAATCACGTGAAGTGTTAACATCACTTCATAATACCATGGTAAGGCCACACTTGGAATACTGCATTCAGTTTTGGTCACCACAATGTAGAAAAGATGTGGAGACTCTGGAAAGAGTGCAGAGAAGAGCAACAAATATGATTAGGGGACTGCAGGCTAAAACATATGAAGAACGGTTGCAGGAACTGGGTATGTCTAGTTTAATGAAAAGAAGGACTAGGGGAGACATGATAGCAGTGTTCCAATATCTCAGGGGTTGCCACAAAGAAGAGGGAGTCAAACTAGTCTCCAAGGCACCTGAGGGTAGAACAAGAAGCAATGGGTGGAAACTAATCAAGGAGAGAAGCAACTTAGAACTGAGGAGAAATTTCCTGACAGTTAGAACAATTAATCGGTGGAACAGCTTGCCTCCAGAAGTTGTGAATGCCCCAACACTGGAAGTCTTTAAGAAGATGTTGGATAGCCATTTGTCTGAAACGGCATAGGGTTTCCTGTCTAGGCAGGGGGTTGGACTAGAAGATCCCTAAGGTCCCTTCCAACACTCCTATTGTACTGTATTGTATCATATGCTATGGCTCTCTCAAGTTTAATGTTTTAAGCATAATCTAGGGCTTAAAGATTTTAATTTTATTTCCCATCAACATCTAATGGAAAATAACCCTGCTGCTTTTAATTAACATAATCCATTTGCTATAATATCCTATGATAGAATTTCCCAATCAACTTGAGCTAAGAGTGCAATAGCATTGTTTTAATTTGCTTTCACAATGCAAGAAGAGTTGGGATCATGAATACTTCCAGGCAAAGCTTGAAAATGCAGGGATACCACAGAGAATATTCATCTATAGCAGGGGTGACAAACTCATGGCCCATGGGCCAGATGTGTCATGTGCTGGCCACGCCCACCCCCAGTTTAGCGAAGGGGGGGAAAGTCCCAATATGTCACGTGATGATGATGTGACGACGTGAGCTTGACACCCCTGATCTATACCCTGTATTTCTCACATGGAAGAGGAACTCTCCAAGGCTTTGTATAGATTGTAAAAAAATTGCAGCAGCAGGACAGACAGTTCTGGGGGCAATATGCAATTTGAGTTGTTTATCTTTGACTTTAATCTTCTTCCAAGGTTAACATATCAATACATAAAATAAAATAAATAAATTGAAATGTGCAGCTTAAAGCCGCCAATACTCTGGCAACTAGTTCAGCTGGTGCTCTCCGTATGTCATAAAGTCGGGAGGTTTATACCACCAATGTTCAATTGGTGGTATTCAATTCTTCTTCAAAGGCAGTTTCATCACAAGCTTCTTGAAATTTTAACCTGCCACTAGTGCAAATTGGCTCTCTTCCCCTGCAACCAGTTTATTAGCCAAAGCTATTAAGATTCATTCCAGGGTTCTGCTGCCACCTGAGCCTCCTCGGTCAGAACAGAACGGACACCTCCTTTCAGAAAGATCATCTTCCATAGCCATAGCATCTAATCTGTATTCATCTCAACTTTGTTTGATTTTGCCCACTTCTAAACTATCTCAAGGAACTAGAGTTCCATGGTGGGTTATTATATTCCTGGACAAAGTAAATAGAAACAAAATATTTGTAATTATCATCCACAGCTGATTATACTGTGGCATATTTTATAATTTCAACATGTATTTGTGTGCTGTCTCATTGAAAGATTCTAGGCAGCTTTCATCTCATAAAAACATACCACAAAGCAACATCATGTAGCCACAATAAATCAGACACCCCTCGTGCCCCCACCCCCAAAAGCACTTTCCTCCAATTAAATAGCATTGTTTGCCCTGGAGGGCTCTCTGTAAAAGCAGTGTTTTCACAGCTTTCTGGAATGTTAACAAAATGTTAATAGAATGTTTTCTATCACAGACCCAATTATGGATAAACATGCTTTTTGAACTGGAAAATAATTTTCTGAGCCTAAATTGGCTGAGATGTTTGGTAACATGTTTATTTGACTTATGCTAATTTTATTTGAAGTAGATTTCCCTTCCTCAAATAAACATTTTTTTTAAAAAAATAATAATTTTTGCTAATAAAGAGAGCAAGAACAATGGTTCTATATCCATATAGACTGCATCTGCCAAAAGAGCCTAGATCTCACCAGAAATAAAAAGGTATGGGGAAAAAAAAAGGATTGGATAAAGGGCTCCCAGGTTAACTTTTTCTTGCTGGATTCTCAGATGCTAAAAAAAAAAAATGCCTTTAGGATAACGATGATGGATGAGACAGACGTTCAGCCAGGACTCCTTCCCATACTACTGGCTGCTCAGAGGGACATTTCTACCTAGAAGGCAGCTGTTAAAATGAAAGGAAAGGATCAATGCCCAATAAATCTTTGCAACAGTCAAAGCTGCCCTGTGGGAAAGGAGACCATTTGGAATCCTGTCAATGGGCATGCATGGGCCAATGCCAAGATCAGTGCCTAACAGAAGTTATAAAAGAAAGGAGGCGAGTTATGGGATGGATGTGGGACAACCCCCGTTGGCTTGCAGAGAGGAATGACACATTGCCTTTCACTTCTGATGGCTTCTGCTGCTGCTAAGGTGCCAAGTGGGCAATTGTTCAACTCCCTAGTCTAGCAATAGACTCGATGGCTATTGCAAACCCACAGCAGCAGCATTTTAAATTCTGGCAGATGCAAGGTAAGCATGATTTTTCTTCTTCCAGGAACTGTAAAACTGACAAGGATGCGCAAGAGTCGAAGTAGATTCCGCGTTAGACAAAAACGCTGGGTCAACCACAGTCAGCAATGTGTATCAGGAGATGCAGTTGTGCCTTTTCTCATCAGATGGACTTTTAAACATACTCCGCATCCCACCTAATTTGGTTCGGTTTCACTTTCTATTGATGGTACATCCATCACCAGTTGAGAATCACTAGCTGAGATGTTTTCATTCAAGACATATTCACTGTTATTTAGACTACTGATCTGGCTTGATAAAAGGCAGATTCCTTTTGTTACTTTGGGAACAAAGACAAGCACTATCTCAACCTCTATAATAGAGTGTCAAGTTTTTGTTTTTTTTAAACACTCACACGAAGGAAAAACAAAGCTCACCTGGTAGGGTCTGACTTTGTGATGTATCTCTTGTATTCCAACTTCTCTTGTTCTCACATCACGACACTAGATAGGAGGAGTAAGCGATAAAGCTTCAGATAAGAAGACAAGAATTGCAACAGGGAATGTATTTAGGCTAAGGAATACTGCCCTCATCATCACCATCACTTCCTGCAGGGTTGAAAATTAAGTTAGAATAGACAAGATGACAATTTGAAGGGGAGATTTCAAAATAAAAATGCTTACTTCTCCATTGTAGGATAAGGAAGGGAAAGCCTGGTATATAAAATAAAAGCCCATCCATTGTAAATGTTAGCGGACAATAGTTTTCTTGAGCGATCTGCATCTTATGGAGAAATATATTGATTTTTTTTTAAAAAAACAGCCAGGTGAGAAGAAATTTCTCATCAAATATGAAACACCAATGTTAACTGTATTTTGCACTGGCTAAATAAGGATTGAAGCAGAGAAACTCCTGAAAAATTTGTCATAAATGTTGAGTGTGCTTTCCATGAAGGCTTAGGGGCTGAAATTTGCCATGCTTTTCTAAGAAAGTCTTAGGGGAAAGAATCTTTCAAATGTGATGAAAAGTACCATACTTTTTGATGTATTAGATGCACTCCCCCCAAAAAAGTGGGTAGAAATGTATGTACATCTTAGACAGCGAATGTTGCTGAAGCCCCGCCCACCCACTGGCCTCCACCCTTCAGCTTCTGCCTCCCAGCAATTTGCCTCCTTGTAGCAAACAGCAAACAGTCTCGTCAGCTTCAGCACAGCCTGATTTAGCACGACCAGCTGATTGGTAGTTGGCTCGTCCTCCTGGAATACCGCCTATCAGCTGTTCCAGACTGTGGGGATCACCACCACCCATCGCCACTCAAACACGCTGTCAATCAATGCCTCTGCACTTCGTGTTTTCAGCCTCTGCACACACCATTTTTGGCCTCCGGATGTTGCATTTTTGGCCAGTTCCAGGCAGCAGGGATTGGCAGCAGCAGCAGCGATCCCCACCACCTGGAACAGGCCGAAAATGTGATGCAGAGAGGCCAAAAACGGGGCCATGTAGAGTTCATAAATGTGCAGAAGTGGTAATTGGCGGTGATGTGCTGTGGTGATCCCCAGTCTGGAATGGGATGAAAATGTGACACGCAGGGGCTAAAACGCGATGCGCATAGACCAAAAATGTGACGTGCAGAGGTGGCGATTGGCAGTGATGTGCTGTGGCAATCCCCACAGCCTGGAACAGCTGATTGGCAGTATTCCAGGAGGATGATCCAACCACCAATCAGCTGCTTGTGCTGAATCAGGCTGCAATAAAGTGCTGAAGCTGATCAGGGTGTTGGCTGTTTGCTGCAAGGACAGTAGCCAGATGAATACTGATGGATGTTGGTAGGCAGAAGCAGATTTTTTTTCTAGTTTTCCTCCCCAAAAACTAATATGCATCTTATATTCCAGAGCATCTTATACTCCAAAAAATACGGTATCATGTTTATTCTGCCCGAGTTTACATTAAAACAGGACAAGCCGCTTGTGTTTAATTCCTGTCAAGCACAGCAGAACGACTTGTATAACAGTTTAAGAGAACTGTAATCCAAAATTTCTAGAAGACAACATGGATCTGATCTATAAATCATTTAGTTCAAGTAGTGTGGTCCCCAATTTTGGATGTACAAGTGACATCACTGGCACAAAGTATCCAAAATATAATAAGCTCAGCTTGGTATAACAGTTGTGCTCCTTTTTTAATGGGGAAGGAGGGAGAGGGAAAGAATGTGACTTCTAGATATTTGTAAAATGGTGATTACCAAGGACCAAGATAAAGTTAGTGCTCTACCTCATATCTTGACTGCCTTGAAAACAGTCAAGAAGTTTGAGGCAATGTTTGAGAAAAATGCTGAAAGAACCAAAAATCTGAGCACAGCAGACTGCTTCTTAAACATCTATTATCAATTTCTAAGCAGAAATCAAGCATTGTTTTTAACCTTAAAGCCATTTAAAACTCCTATTCAGCCATTCTCAGATGAACCTCTTCAGCAATGATGATCTTCTTCAAGGAATTTTCAGTGGAAGTAACAGTTCATCATTTATCTTCTGTACTACTAATGTTGCTGTGAATCTTGAATAGGTGCCATGCAAATCTTGATTTAGCCAGCATATTCATCATAACCCTGGCTAATTTGGACTAATAATTGTCAATACTTTTGTTCTGCTACAGCAAGTTGCTGAGAATGCAAGCCTCTCAGCTGGGCCTATAAAGTAAAATGTGACATTTTCCTCTGCAGTAGGTTCGATAGGAAGAAAGTGCTCCTGGGCACTAAGACACTTCCAAACTTGTGGTCCTCTAGGCTCCTGATGGTACCCGACATTTTAAAAAGAAAAATAAATAAGTAGGATCCTGGCATGTGGCAAAGCGCCAGCTTCAGTAAAGTAGCAGCCTTCTATTATAGTCATCTTTGGAGGATGCATCCACCATATGCTGTCAATGTTCCAAATATACTTTTGCTCCAAATGATTATTTATTTCTATCCTATATAAATACATTAAATACACCAAGGGAGAACAAGCAACAATGAGCTTTGCTTAACAAGGGAAAAAACATTTTAAAAGCCTTTTTCCATGAACAAATACATTTGGTGGCACTTCACCCAAATCCCTTTAGTCTTAAGAGATTATAAATTATATTTGTATAGTTCAAGCTGTAAAGAAAAGCCATCTAATGTAAATAGGAGAACTTTAGGCAAGACTGGTCTTGTTTTAATATATCTGCAAACACAGAATAGCTTTTTATAAATCAGCTATATCAGGGGTCCCCAACCCCAGGGCCCAGCTCGGTACTGGGCTGTAGCCTGTTTAGAACTGGGCCATGCAAACAGTAGGCGTACATACTTGTGCACACAGCTCCATTTGCACGAGTAACAAGTAACAAGCATGAGTAACGGGTTCCTGGGGGCTGGGGAGGGCAGAAATGAGCAAAAAACGGGCCGTTTTTTGCTCAATTTTGCCCCAGCCCCCAGGAGCACTCTATAAGCTTCCTAAGGGCTATCCATGCCCTTTCTTTGACAAAAAATGGGTTCGTCTTAATAAAAAATGGGCTGGTTTTTGCTCACCCACCCCCCCGAGCACTCTACAAGCCTCCTAAGGGCTATTCATGCCTTTAAAAAAAAACGGGCCATTTTTTTGGAGGTTTGCAGAGTGCAAAACCTTTTTTTTTAAAAAAAAAAAACCTCTTCAAAACCTTGGTGCATCTTATACTCCGGTGTGTCTTATACTCTGAAAAATATGGTAAGTCAATAACTATAAATGCCTATAGAATGTTCAAATTATTAGATTATTTTTTAAAGACTGCTTTATTATTGTTGTAGACAACTTAACAAAATGAAGAAGCTTTTTAAAATAAAGGCTTGATTTGAAGAGACCCCATGCTATTGTATCTTCTTTTAAATAGCAGAGAATAACTATACTTCCAGAAAGCCACATCAATTTTAACAGCATTTGTACAAGTATAGTCTGAAATGTAACACCACAAGCAGTGTATATTGTCTGTACTGTTTGCTGTTTGTTGCAAGGAGGCAAATTGCTGGCAGAGGCAGATTTTTCCCTTGTTTTCCTCCCCAAAAGCTAGATGCCTCTTATACTTTGGAGCGTCTTATACTCCAAAAAATATGGTATTTATTTAGGTAGAAAAATCCAAAATCAGAAGCGTACGTTTCTTCTATACATTTGGGGGGGGACGGGGACCCAGCAGGATGGAGTATACTTATCCCTCATCACATTGATGAGAATAACAATGTTCATGCAACTAATCTGTGATGAGGCAATTGTTTCAAAGGACTTCAGGCTGCCTATTATATACCCTTCCATAAAAAAACAAGATTTCACTATTTGTAACGATTCCTTCTTCATGGATCTCTATGGCTGCATCAGACCTACGAGTGCAGAAAAATACTTATTTAATGCATTTGTATGCTTCCCATCTCTCTACCAGGTGACTTTGCACAGATCTTGCAAAACAAAGCAATCATTCTTGGTACAGATAAGAATAGATACAAGTCTGGTAGACTTAAGAAATACAGAATAAAATTATGTGTTTTACCTCTGTTCCCAAGTCCTTCATCCTAGCCAAAGCCAGTTCTCTCAAGTTGCCATGTTCCACTCCAGAAGTGACTAAAGGCATTGGGATATCTCTGCAAGAAACAGACCCTCCATTAAACAAAAACATAACTTCAAAAAATTAACCATCAATGCTTTAAATATAAAATACAACAGTTCTTTGTCTACTACTACTTGGTTGAATCAGCAGGAATTCATCCCTGCATTGTTCTGGTGCTGTTCTTGATACATGACTAAGAGTTTGCTGTCTTTGCTATTGCTTTGACTTATGACCATTCATGTAATAACTATTCAAAGTTACAACAGCGCTGAAAGTGACTTATGACAGGTCCTCACACTAACGATTGTCATAGTATCCCTGTGGTCACATAATCAGAATTCAGGTGACAGGCAATTAGCAGGTATTTACAATGGTTGCAGAATCCCAAGATCACATGACTCCCAGGGGGCATATGACAAGCAAAGTCAATGAGGGGAGTTGGATTTGCTTAATGACCACAATGATTTGCTTAACAAGCATAGCAAAAAATTTAGTTGCTAAAATAATTCAGATAAATGTGAGATAATTCCAAATATGACACATTTGTTCTTTTGGAGAAGCAAAATGGTACTGTTGCTTCTTCTGTTGCCATCTATTTCCTGTCCACAAACATTGTGTTGTGACTTACTCTGGCAACAATAACTGAACTATGAATATTAAGAATAGCGCTGTTGATTTTGAACACAGATCCACTGCACCAAAGTTTGGTTCCCAAAATATCCAAATATGGTAAATGCTTCCAGAAAATGTAGAAATATCCTACCCAATTGTTTATCTCCATTAGCTAGACTAGCGTTTCACAACTTTGGCAAACTTGGCCAGAGAATCCTGGGAGTTGAAGTCCACACATCTTACAGTTGCCAAGACTGAGAAACACTGAGCTAGATTTCAGAAAGGTCCTGCCTCCGGACACAAAAATATCACACTGCCATAATTATTTGCAACCATTTACTAGCTTGAGATTCAAGAATTTGCTTAACCTAAAGTTGAAGATTATTTTATATTTTGAAGCAAAAAAATCACAACAACTGGACAGCTGCTAGAGATCCAGATAATAGAACTGTGTAATCATTTGGGTATTATACTTGGACCAAGACCCAGGTTCAAATCCTCAGCCCTACAAAAGAGACCATTTGTTCTCAAACGAAACTTAGTTCACAAGGATCAAGTGACGGAAAAATATTTTTCCCACTAGGGTATTCTGCTTTGGGATTTTGGAGAAAAGGCAAAATATAGTAAATAATATAAAAAGTTGAGCTGAAATCTTAATATAAGCTTTGATCAAGTAAAAAATGAGTGGCATAACAGAAAGAGAAAATTGAAAAGGAAAACATGAATATGCTACAATCATTAAGAAGAGGGCACCCAGTGAAATCTAACAGTGGATTATATGTTCCAATTCATTGCCATTCTAGGGGGGTGTTAAAGAGAATTACACTTTTGCAATATAATTATGCGACGGGGGGAATTGATGGTTAAGAAATATAAAATATAAATAAATATACGAGTGGGAGATAGGAAACCCCTTACTTCATCTAAAGCACCCTTCCAGGAAAATTAACATGGACTAGAGACATAAACATTATATTGGGCCTATGCTGTGTCCATACGGCTTTTTAAAAAATTGGAGATGAGAACTATGGGGTCATGCCAGATTATTGACGAGGGAGAGGGATGTTAGAAGTCTTTGGGGGGGAAGACATGGCATACATGTAAGAGAGTAAGGTACAAGAGACAGCAAAACCAAAAAGGCAGCATTTCTGAAACTTTCTCTTAAAGTTCCAATATGTCAGGCTGAAAACTGCTATCTTGCTATAAGGAAAATGAAGAAAAAAGATCTGGGGACTACAAAAGTTGGGAATGTAAGAAAAAAAAGAGGCTTGATGATGAGAAGGTACGGCAGACTATCACGACAGATTCTCCACCCGCTGGCACGCTGGGGCTTAATTCCCTCACCCCCTGCTCTCTTCTACATCAACCACCTAGCCTAGCCTCTCCCCCAGAATACAGTAATAATTAGCTCACTCATTAATTTATTCAGCTGGGCCCTGGGAGTAAATACAACCTCATCTTGTCAACAGACATTAACAGTCTTCAGGCAGTAACAGTTAAGAGTTAATAAGCTCTTCCCTGCTCCAGCTAAAGGATACATTGGAGGAGAATGCAATTTCTATCTAGGCACGTTAGAACATAGGCAGCCGTCAGAGAGCTGTGCTTCTTTCCAATTACCAAAATACTGCAGGAACCCCAGGCTGTTGCACGATTCACCACAGGGATGTCAATAAAACCACTCTTGCACCCTAGCACGTAGCCTACATAGCAGTATCCACTGAGCTAGTCTATCATCTCTGGAACAGTGACACAGTGTACTGGCGTGCCCGAAGGCCCTGGGTGGCCATCTGCTGTGAAACATATTTTCGTTTCTGTGTAAGAAGAGGATGTGACTCAAATCAGCATATACACATATGCAAATATGGCAAATTTGAAGAGTGTAAAGACAAATCTCCATTCTCCCTCTCCATTGATGTCAAAGGTTTAAGGTGTCCTCGCTAGATTTTTCCAGCAGTGAAGACAACGTGGGATGTCACAGGTCCGTTTGCTGAAGCTTACCTGCCCAAAGATTTTTCTAATATTTTTTTCAACAAGGCAAGGCATCAAATAGAAGCCATGTGTTAGGCAAGGCTTATTGGATATGGCAATATTACACATGAAAATTTAAGAATAGAGCTCTCCTTCTACCACTACATAAGTTGGCATTTTAGCTGGTGTCGAGCAGCTGTTATTGGGGGGAGGGGGAATAAAATCAGAGGTTGTATTCAGCAGGTTCTGACCAGTTCTGGGGAACCGGTAGCAGAAATTATGAATAGTTGGGAGAACCAGTAAATACCACCTTTGACTGGCCCTGCCCTCATCTATTCTCTGCTTCCCAATCCTAGCTGATCGGGATGGAATGGAGATTTTGCAGTAACCTTCCCCTGGAGTATGGAGGGAATAGATATTTTACAGTATCCTTCCCCTGCCACACCCACCAAGCCACACCCACAGAACTGGTAGTAAAAAAATTCAAATCACATGACTGGATAAGTCCAACATGAGAGAATCTTTACCGCGGAGGCTTCCCTATCCATGAATTTCAAGCTATCACTACTAATGCCATTTTATGAGATATAATCTAATACAACCAGAAAGCACCAGGTTGAGGAAAGATGTTCTGCAATACCCTCAATGGAGTGTTCTTCTGATTGTCTAGACTCCCACTGATTCCTTTAATGGTGGGCAAGCTTTCAAAGACTATATCTTTAAAAAAAAACACCATTCCTGGTAGTCCCCTAACATGGTTTCGACCATCTGACAGGCAAAGACAAATTACTTGATAATTATATTGCTTCTTATTAATTCCCACCCTTAAGCAGACCAACTGTTATCAATATGTTCTGTGCTGACAATTATAAATGGGATACCCTTCCCTCACTAGGTGAAAATCAGTGGTGACAAACATTGGTTTAATATTCTGAAATGTTTATCAGCTAATATCTTGACTAAAGAAAGGCAATGCATTCCTTCTTTTGGCTAAAACAAGTTATGCAAATAGTCACACCATTTTTGGGTCACTGGCTGCCATATGCATTCGAATGTATAATAGAGTAAGAACTGACAACGTGTGGCTCTCTGAATATTCTAAGGCTGCTATTCCTCTAATCCTATGTTACTGATCACACTGGTTGGGTTGCAGTGAATTACAATTCGGCAATATCCTTCCTCTAGAAACTGAACATTTCCTCTACCTAGCTACTCCACAAAATTCCCTCATTTATCCACACTTTCACCGCATAGTAGTTTTACATTAATATTGTACTCTATTGCTCAAAGTGCTCTTCTGTTGTGTGTCCTTCATCCCTTATTGCCTAGGGGTCAATCCACATTTGCTGAATATCTACAGATCATCACTGCTTACCCCTTCCCAGCTTGGTTTCTATTTTCAAAGCTCATTTGCAAGTATCTGTCTAAGATTCAAGTGGCCACAATGTATGGTGACTCATCAGAGATGAACCCTAGTAGTTATGCACAGATGAGCTATCAAGCACAAGCCACAATTATCATAACATTAGCCTGGTGTGTCGATTCATCCTGAATCACATGTAAATGGCTTGATATCTGTGATGAGAATTTGAATGACAGAGCAGAAGAAGTGCAACATTGCCAGTTACTTTCAGGGAAGTGAGGGATAGTGAAATGATTTAGATTTCCAGAAACATTTATTCTGAGAGCATAATAGGGTCAGAAATAGATGCTGCATGAGGAAATCAAGCTGTTTTGTTATCTCACTGTTGCACTACCATATTTTATTAAGACTTAGGATGGGAAAATCAAATGTTACCTTTGTACTCGGTACACTCGAGTCCAGGGAGGCACGAGGGCAAGAATCCTTGCCACCAAATCCACAAGGGTGCTTGGAGGATAACTTTTGTACCTCCCGGTTTTCCAGAGTTCATAGAGGCCAGTGCCACGGATCACAAGAGTTGGGTATAGCTTCATGCCATCTGGGCGAAAGGCAGGATTCTCAAAAAACTCCTGCAGAAGAAGCAACACGTAAGAGAGATTAGTGCAATGGCTCACAACAGCTGGACGGTTCAATAAGTCATCACTCTGACAGGCACATGGGAGATGGGAGTGGGGAGTCTGTATAGTCTAGTAGCAGCAAGATTTCATCACAAAACCTCACCATGCCAGTAGATAGGCATTGGAGGGATGTGTGATTCAGTGACAGGCGAGGCATTCATTGACTAGAAGCCTTTCTGTCATCACACTAAAAAAACCTTCCTCTGTGTGCGTACCAGCTGAAACTCCTGCTGCACCACACCACTCATGAGAGGCCCTAAGCCTATTTTTAAACCATGGATTTAATGCTATTTCAGAAGAGTACTAAATCTTTTTAAACCTGTGTTTAAAAATAGCTGTCTTAACACCTGACAGGTAGTTCTCCGTCGGTGCACTATGCAGCACTCCATAAGGTGAGCTGATTTTAAACATGGGTTGAATGTTATCAAGGTTGTTTGACAGTTGAAGATGGCAACCCCAATCACAACCTGTCTAGTTTGGAGTCTTATGTTTTTCTTCTGTGCCAAACAGACCAATTCTTCACACAATGTTGATGGATAGAATGTGATGCGCCAGTTACTGAAATAGCTGCTGTCTCAAAATGCCTTTAAATTGTGATTTAAAAAATTCAGTGAGCAACAGGCTTGACAGTTCATAATGATTATCTAAAACCTCCATGTTCAGATACATAAATATGTAAGTTAACAACTGCTATGGAAGAACAGCAGGTGAAGGAATTTATGATTCACAGGAAGCCCTCAAGTAGATCTCACAGACATTAGTTTGGAATCATGGGAACCAAGATGATGGAAAGATCATAGTCAATAACAATTTTCACACTGTAATGAAACAGAGCAGTAATAGCTACTGTTCATACCTGGGAGAAACCACACGTGGATATAACATTTGCCTAGGTCAATGGGCTTAAAGTCCAATGCAAAGAAAGTCTTTTTATAAACAAAACTTCTGGAGATGGAATTGTATATTTTGATCTCCAAAATATTATATTTCAAATGTTTGCGTCCAAAGAAAGCAGTACTATTATGTTCCAAAGGGTTCACTTTATCAAAAAATAAATAAATCAGTACATCTCCACCACCACCCACCACCCCACAGCATAGGTTTTCAGGACACACGCCAGTTAGTCTATAAGGTTCAAGACTGATTTTGCCAGCACAAGTCAATCTATTTTAATCTTTTTCTTAAAAAACCTCCCCTTCCACTATTATTACCACTAATGACATCAACAAACCTCATTCATTCACACTCTTCTAAGCCTGCTAGCATAAATAAGCAGGATGCAAATTGTACAAATTAGTAATGTGGATGTCAAAAAACTGTTTTCCCATTATTATGAGAGGATGGCTATTCAACTGTGCAGCTACAGCTTTTCCTGCAGGGGCAGACAAACAGGTGATTATCTTGCTTTGGCAGGAGAAATATCTATGGAATTGGTTTACTGCTCACTCTGAATAATTTAGCAAAAACAGTCAAACAAGGAAAAACTGAAATGGATGAGAAAGTGACAATATTCCAGAAGATGGATGGATCTCTGTTCTGTTGTTATGTGAAGATTAGGCAGGCGGGTAGCTTTCAGGAAAGCTAGGAGTTAAAATTGCAGAAGACCACAATGGGCTTCTTCCAACCCTTTTGCTTCAACAGACTTTTAAACACTAAACAAGCTACTGTTTATTTTGATGGGGTTTTAAGTATTGTTTTTAAATTTGTTGCTCTTTAGTGTGCTAGTTCTAGTACTTCATTTAATGTTTTCTCCCATATATTGGTAGATTAGGCACGGGTCAGAAGTGGGGATCAGATACACGATGTTGAGGGTTTAGTATAGATACTCCCACTTGATATTTTTTATCCAGTTATTAGAATTACAGTACTCCAAAGCAGAATTCTAATTTTTGGATACCAGCCCCAACTTCATTTTTTCTGTAATATGTGGCTAGCAACATTTTAAGAAAAAATAGGCTTGGTGGCTTCAGGTCAGAATTTCACTGTGTCCTGTGTTCAGCTAAAAAATTTGAAGCTAGTAATGATAAGAAAGATTCAGATAAACCTGGAAAGTTTGGGAATGATAGTGCAGTGGAGAAATCTGAGAAGGAGAGGAAACTTTCTGTGTGTGTATGTGTGCATGCGTGTGTGTGTGTGTGTGTGTTTATGAGATTGTGTGTGTGTTTGTATGTGTGTGTGTGTGTGTGTGTGTGTATGAGATAGATAGAGGGAGAGAGAGGAGGATGTTAGGAGGCAGAGAAGAGCACTATGAATTAAAACTATCCACTCAATGCAAAATTTATAACCATTCTTACAAGCAAAGGAGAGTGTTCCCAAATTGTCCCATTGCTATGACAATTTTTGTGGCATCAAGGACACAACACAAAATTTCGAACTGGGCCTAAAAGCTTGAAAATTTGTAGTCTGCTGTATATGAAAATCTGTCACAGCATTTCCTCAATCTTGGCCACTTTCAGATGGGTGGATTCCTGGGAGTTGAAGCCCAACCATCTTAAAAGTGGCCAAGGTTGAGAAACACTGATCTATCACATTAAAATTATCTTTGTTGCTACTGTGGTTCCCTCCAATTACTACTCTCTTCTCTGGATGACCTAGTACGATTTGATAGCTTATTAGTAACCTTGACTATCACAATTTGATAGCTTATTAGTAACCCTGACTATCACTAAGTGCTGTATCATTTTATTCCTGATGAATGTATTTTATTCTCTTATGTACACTGACATCATATGCAACAAAGACAAATTCCTTGTGTGTCAAATCACACTTGGCCAATGAAGAATTCTATAAAGAATTCTATGAAATATGGGTGATCCTAACTGATCAAAGATTATGTGATGAAAGAGTTAAATTCATTACAATACCTAGTTAATCATAACTGACTATATGTCAGTGTTACTGAGAATATATTCTCAATTGAGAGACAGAAACATAGGACACTGAAAAAATAGTCAAGTAAAAAAGGGTGCTTGTTAATTTTTAAAGAAAATCTTGTAGAAAGCAATAACAAACAATAATAATGATGCCCTGAAGAGAGTTGGATTTTTTTGGGTTCAGCACTAATCAGCCTAGCATCGACCTAGAATATTCCTGCGTGGTGATTGTACAGGTTAGGCATAACAGGCAGCAGCTTAATGTTACACTCCTCATTCAGGAAGATGAAAGAATCAATAATTTCAGCCTCTACCATGCAGCCATCCTTATCTATGCCTGAATTCCTGACAAAATAATGAACAGTGAGTGGGCCTTGGAATAATACATCAAACAACCAAGACTGATTTTTGTTGAATGACTCCAAGCTACCAGGATGTAAAAACAGCCACTTGACACATGGACATGTACAGAGGTAATAAACTGTTTACTTTCTTGTGAGACTTTATGCCAAGCTTGCTAGAGGTTAGAATTCTTTTCTTCCCCAACTAGTGTCTGCCCCCCCTCCAAATCAAACAAAGCTATGTGGTCAATTTGTTTCATTCCCTTTGCATTGTATAGGTAGTCCTTGACTTACAACCATTTGTTTAACAATCACTCAAAGTTACAACAGCATTTAATAAGCGATTTATGGACCGGTCAATGCACTTATGACCGTTGCAATGTCCTCATGCTCATGGGATTGTGATTCCAGCATTTGGAAACTGGAATGTATTTACAATGTTTGTAGTGTCTCAAGGTCACCTGGCTGCCATTTGCAACCTACCCCGTTTCCCTGAAAATAAGACCTCCCTGGTAATAAGTCCAATTGGGCTTTTGAGCGCATGCACTAAAATAAGCTCTCCCCGAAAATATTGCCACACAGCAGCAGCCATGAAGTGACCACGCTTGCTGCCTCCTGCACTTCAAAAATAATAAGATCTCCCCAAAAATAAGGTCAAGCACTTATTTCGGGAGTCAAAAGAAAATGAGACCCTGTCTTATTTTTGGGGAAACACAGTATCTGACAAGCAAAGTCAATGGGGAAAGGTAGATTGGCTTCAGCGGAGCATGATTTGAATAATAACTGTGTC